CAGTGCAGCTGCTGCTTCTCCCCTGTCGGTGGAGGAGGCAGGGCAGGCAGCAAATCTGTGGCTGAAATAAGACTGGTTTGAGCCCTTTTAAATTTTAATTATTTTGCGTTTGTACATTTTGTAAATTAAAATGCTTCTGTCATTTTCCTTGCCCTCTTTGTTCCTCCCTCACCCTTTACTTCACTTTATTTTAAATCTCAGTAAAGACCTTGTGACATGTCTTCTACAATGATTGCTTTTCCCCTGAAGAAATGTTCACCGTATGGAAATAAGAGGGAGTTGGCCAGCTCATGGTAACAAAAATCACCGTGCCAATATCACTTTGTCTGATGCAATGCAAAGCAATGCTTCTGGTCATGTGACCCCAAATGGCTTAGTTTAACCATCTTTGCAAAAGTGGCACATTGCTGATTCAATGCTGACGCTGCTCAGAAACTTGAAATGCGTTCTATAAATAGCTCCACAAGAAGGGGAATTTCTGATTGCAGAGTTCTCTTCAGTCCCTTGGGCAAGAAAATAGTGTCGAGGGAACATTGGGACCTACCTAATACTGGGTCAGGCCATTGATCCACATAGCAGTGGCTCTGCAGGGTTTCTGATGAGGGTCTCTCTCAAACTTACCAGAAGGTGGTGCCCCTCACTGTTCCTGGGCAGGGCCGTCTTACCCATAGGCGCTAGGGTCTTCTGTAGAGCCGAGTTTGACGGAGATGTCAAACCCGCGGTCCGTCCACCATTCACGCCGACCCAAAGGTCTTGGGCCATCCACCATTGATGCTTTAGCTGAGATTTCTGCATTGCAGGGGCCTGGACTAGATGACCCATGGGTCCTAACTCCATGGTTCTATGATTCTGTGATAAGATGACAACGGGATCATGAACTTCAATTGTTCTGAATACTTGAAATCCCAACATAAATGATTGTGATCTCAATACCTGACCATTTGGTGGTTAACTGCATAACTGCATGGTCATTTCTCCCTGAAATGCTCAGTTGCCCAGCAGCCAATGCCGGATTTATGTATAAGCTAAACAAGCTATAGCTTACGGCCCCACTCTTTTGGCCCCCCCATATACTTCTTCTTAATTTTATTTCAGTATTAATATACTTCTTCTTAATTGTATTTCAGTTCAACAATTACTTTGACAAAATACATATTTTGCTATGTGCAAATAACAACAACAACAACAATTTATTATTTATACCCCGCCCATCTGCCTGGGATTCCCTAGCCACTCTGGGCAGCTTCCAACAAAATATTAAAATACAGTAATGCATCAAACATTAAAAGCTTCCCTAAACAGTGACGCGGGTGGTGCTGTGGGTTAAACCACACAGCCTAGGACTTGCCAATCAGAAGGTCGGCGGTTCGAATCCCCGCGATGGGGTGAGCTCCCATTGCTCGGTCCCTGCTCCTGCCAACCTAGCAGTTCAAAAGCACATCAAAGTGCAAGTAGATAAATAGGTACCGCTCTGGTGGGAAGGTAAACGCCGTTTCCATGCGCTGCTCTGGTTCACCAGAACCACATGACCCGGACATGCTGGCCACATGACCCGGAAGCTGTACGCCGGCTCCCTCGGCCAATAAAGCGAGATGAGCGCCGCAACCCCAGAGTCAGTCACGACTGGACCTAATGGTCAGGGGTCCCTTTACCTTTAAACAGGGCTGCCTTCAGATGTCTTCTAAAAGTCTGGTAGTTGTTGATAGTTAGGTCCATAAATTACCATATAGCATATATTCAACAACAACAAAACAGCGACAATTTGTTGTTGACAAAGGACAGCTGGACATTAGAGGGGCCCATTACTTTCAGGAGCTTAGGGCCTCATCAAACCCAACCCTGCCAGCAGCTGTCAACTGGTTTGGTCAAACTCATGTTAGTAGCATCAAGAACACTGTCCAACCATCTCGTCCTCTGTCGTCTCCTTCTCCTTATGCCCTCAATCTTTCCCAACATCAGGGTCTTTTCCAGGAAGTCTTCTCTTCTCATGAGGTGGCCAAAGTATTGGAGCCTCAGCTTCAGTATCTGTCCTTCCAGTGAGCACTCAGGGCTGATTTCCTTCAGAATGGATAGGTTGGATCTTCTTGCAGTCCATGGGTCTCTCCAGAGTCTCCTCCAGCACCATAATTCAAAAGCATCAATTCTTCAGCGATCAGCCTTCTTTATGGTCCAGCATCCCCATCCGTAAAGTGCATTCTTATCTAGAGCCTAGGTTGAGCCATTTTGACCACGAAAAAATTAACAAGTTGCCAAGTTCCTATAATGATACTTCTCTCCCCTCGCCCTTTGTTCATTCATATTAAAGCTTTTTAAATATTTTAGATCTTATTTTTTTATTTTTTTAAAAAGGAGAAGTTAAAATCAAATCTTCCCCAGCTCCCTCTTGGAGTCAATGAAGGCAGCTGCATAAAATACCAAGGAATCGGGTATCACTTGTGAGAAAGCAGCTAGGGATGTGAGATTCCATTACACGAGATGCATTTGTACCATTTTAGCTTGCACAGATGGAAATATAGTTCAATGTTTCAACATCATTTGACTTTCACATGTTAAAATATTGATAAGTGCTGCACAGGATAATGCCCCTATGGTTTGAAGTAGTAACTGGAGCATGATGTTTATTGAAGTGAGATACAGCAAAAGCCTTTAACGAGCATTTAAAAACACTGGGAATAATTCTCGCCTTGGTTCCCCCCCCCCTTTTCCTGGCTATCCTTAGCTAAGCTTTATTTTAGAATTTGGGGGAGGAAAGCATGAAAATGGAAATTGGATGAATGATTAACTCAGGGACCTGAGAGGGTGATTGTGGGGGAGAGTTTGCATTTTTTTAAAAAATGGAAAATGCTGCAGGGAAAAAAATGTTGAATATCCAAGCTCAATAGAGAGGAAGCAGTGAGATAAGCCTGAATAGGCCACATAAAAACCTCCATGCTAAATATTTATGGGGTTCTTATTCTGAAAAAGGAGCGTCTGGAAACTTAAACAACAACAAAAAGACCCTGCGTCGTCCAGATTGTTCAAAGCAATCTGTTTTTTGCCTCACACCCATGTGCCATTTCTGTGATAAATGATGTCTTGCATGTTATTTTGATTCAGTAGGAATACATTATCTCCAATGAGGTAGCCAGAAAAGGCGGTATAATGTCTGGTTTACATATTTCAAAGGGGAAGAAAGGCTTGAAACACTCCCCACAAATGTATATGCAGATGCAAAGACTGGCAGCCATTCAGAACCCGTCTCCCTAGTTGGAATCACCCGCTTTAAACCAGAGGCAATTTGATCCCAAGTAAAATTGCTTCTTCCTTATATCATTTCCTTGATGCATTCCTTCCTCAAGTGGCTGAGAGTCTGAAATACCAAGAGGTGGGGGCAAAGTTATGCAGGTGAGTGCTTTGGAAACACTGGGGAGCTTCTAAAAACAGAGAGAAAATGTCACAAAATCAGCGAGGGGGTGGAATGCCACATGAAAGGGGCTGCATCCTATCGGTGTCTTCCAGGTGGGGCTCTCCGACGGGCTTTAGCTGAGATTCTTGATTTGAAGGGAGTTGGACTAGATATCTCTTGGGGTCCCTTCCAACTCTAAGATTGTATGATTCTTTGCCAATTCAGAAACATGTTTGCTTAATCTCCACAGTCCTTCCTCTGTTCTAGTGGGCGTGGACAGAATAGGAGTCAAATATGTACACACCTGTGTGACATGATGGAGTGCACATGGTTATCAACCAACAGGTCCAGTGCCTTCTTCCTGTGTGATGGGATTTTTGGCCAATCATAAGGAGCATATGCCTGTTGTCTTTGTCCTTGGAGTTTTCTTGGCAGGGATACTTGAATGGCTTGCCGGTTCCTGCTCCAGGTGGATCACGTTTAGTCAAAACTCTCCACTATGACCTGTCCATCTTGGGTGAACCTGCACAGCATAGCTCATAGCTTCTCTGAGTTGTTCAAACCCCTTCACCACAGCAAGGCAGTGATTCATGAATGCTATGGTTTTCCCAGTAGTGATGTATGGAAGTGAGAGCTGAAGCATAAAGGAAGCCGATCTCCTAATAATTGATGCTTTTGGATTATGGTGCTGGAGGAGACTCTGGAGAGTCCCATGGACTGCAGGAAGATCAAACCTATCCATTCTGAGGGAAATCAGCCCTGAGTGCTCACTGGAAGAACAGATCGTGAAGCTGAGGCTCCAATACTTTGGCTACCTCATGAGAAGAGAATACTCCCTGGAAAAGACCCTGATGCTGGGAAAAATTGAGGGCACAAGGAGAAGGGGACAACAGAGGATGAGATGGTTGGACAGTGTTCTCGAAGCTACGAACATGAGTTTGACCAAACTGCAGGAGGCAGTGGAAGACAGGAGTGCCTGGCGTTCTCTGGTCCATGGGGTCACAAAGAGTCGGACACGACTAAACGACTAAACAAAGGAGCACATGAGACAATAGGTCAGCCTCCCACATCCTGGTGCTTTGGGCTGCAAATCCTAACAGCCCCAGCCAGCATGGCAGTGCTAGCTAGCAGACGCCAATGGAAGTCTATTGATTTGTTACATTCCTATCCTACATTTCCTCCAAGCATCTTAAGATGGCGTTCATGATTCTTCTTCCTCCCTTCATAACAACCCTATGAGATAGGTTAGGCTGAGAGTGAGTGATGAGCCAATGAGCTTCATGGCTGAGTGGGGATTCAAACCCTGGTTTCCCTGGTCAACATTCAACATTATGCCACATTGCAGCTACATCTGCAATGTTCATTGGAGAATTCTACTGCAATTTACATAGTGCTCTATGCTTGTAATTCCTCAAGGGCACGACTTTTGTTGTTGTTGTTTAGTCGTTTAGTCGTATCTTGTGTATAACTTTATACCTATGTCATTTTAATTGGGTTCCTGTGGCTTGGCCCTTTCATACTGAGTCAGATCATTGGTCCATTGAACCCAGTGTGGTCTACACTGGCTGGCAGCAGCTATTCAGGGTTTCAGACAGGGTTCTCTCCCAGCCCTACCTGGAGGTGCCAGGGGTGAACCTGGGATGTTCTACATGCAAAGCAGAAGCTTTGCCACTGAGCTACAGCCGTTGCCAGTGGGAGGGAGCTGGGCAATGGGAGTTGGAGTCCATCAACAATGCTCGGGGATTATAGGAGTTGTGCCAGCAACATCTGGAGGGAACCAGGTTGGTTTCAAAGTGTAACCTGGTTCATATTAGTCAAGGGGCAGAAAGGCAGCTTTAAGAGTGGACATTTCCCTTCTGAGCCTTTTTAGGTGCCACAGTTCAACCATGCCTGTCAACATCTTTACATTTGAGTCATAAATACTAACAGAAAGCTGACTCCAAACTCCCTTGACTACAGTGTCCTTCTGCCTCGGCCAGATGTTAAATTGTTAAGAAAGGCGCATAATCGTCTCACCTGGCTCCTGCTGGAGCTGTCATACTATCTCCGGCTACAACCTCAAGAAGACACTTCTGGCGCAGAGACTGTGTCAGCAGCTCCACTCTGGGATGAAGTGTCCTCTTAGAGACTGTAGCCTTCAGGAATCCTGTGTGCTTTCTAGAAGATTGGCATCCAAGCTGGCTTTTCTATGGACTCATCTCCACCAAAAACATTTGTAAGAAAGGGTAGAAGAAGAAGAGTTTGGATTTGATATCCCGCCTTTCACTCCCCTTCAGGAGTCTCAAAGCGGCTAACATTCTCCTTTCCCTTCCTCCCCCACAACAAACACTCTGTGAGGTGAGTGGGGCTGAGAGACTTCAGAGAAGTGTGACTAGCCCAAGGTCACCCAGCAGCTGCATGTGGAGGAGCGGAGACGTGAACCCGGTTCCCCAGATTACGAGACTACCGCTCTTAACCACTACACCACACTGGAAGGGCATTTACCCACCGATATTATAGATCAGCTGGCTATCTGTTTATCCTGAGAGGGATGGGAAATCGTAAGTTAAAAGCACATTGGGGGGGTGTGGAAATCCCCTGTAGCACATATCCGTAGTGGCTCATAATGGATTAGTGCATTTGGCAAGTGCAAGCAGAAATGGCAATCAGGATGCACTCAGAATGGTCATGTGTCCCAGCAGACTCCCACATATCATGTTCCTAAAGTAGCATGTCTAAAGCACCAAATAAATTCCATTGATTTGCCAGCGAGAGAAGTTCATTTCCCTTCGATCCCCCGCCTTTTGTTTTTGCAGTTGGGCTTGGCTAGAGCCAAAAGATGCCTGATGCTGGGATCCAAACAATGAAAGTCAGCGAGTCCGGTGGTCTGTAATAACTAAGATGTGCTACACTTACACGGTTAATTCTGCAAAGCTTTATATGCACGACCTACAGCCTGATCAGGCTGCCTTGTTACCGAGGTCCAGCCACACTCTGGCACTGCAGCCACATCTTAGGATCTTTGTTGGTCTTGTACAAATACCAACAAGGAACCTTGTAGGATTCAGCTGCACCATCTGAGTTTCTCGCATCAGCACCAATCCAAGAGCTGGTCCACACAGGCACTCCCATCAACTGATGACTCTAAACAGCCTTTCTCAACCTGTGGGTCCCCAGATGTTGTTGAACTACAACTCCCATCACCTCTAGCTAGCAAGGCCAGAGCTCAGGGATAATGGGAGTTGTAGTCCAACATCTGGTGATCCACAGGTTGAGAACCGCTGCAACACAAAAGGAAGATTTACATGTATGAATGATCCATTATAGATTGAACACCAGAAACTGAATCATCAGTGTTGGAGGCCCTGCTCTTCGACCTGTCAGTAAGAGATATTTGGTTAGTGGGCACTTGGGACAGAGCCTTTTTAGTGGTGGTGCTACATCTTTGGAGGGTATTCGGGGAGTTGTAGCCCAATAACATCTGAAGGGCCACAAGTTCTTTCACCCTGGTTTATATAGCACTTCATATAGGGCTTCATGTACACGATTCTGTGCAACAATCACATGTAGCGTATTGCTACCCTGCAATACTTTCCCAAATAATCAGTCCCCACATTCCACCACCAGCTAATCATATTATAATCATAGCTGTTAACTTTTCCCTTTTCTTGCGAGGAATCCTATTCAGAATAAGGGAATTTCCCTTTAAAAAAGGGAAACGTTGACAGCTATGATTATAATCCAGAGATGAGACACCAAGTCATCATGTGTTTATGTGTGAATTGTGCCTACTGGGGACTCTGCAGGGATGCCAACTTAAAGAAAATATTGATGGGGCCCAGGTAAGCCCGTCCTGCATCATCAATCACAAGATGCAGCCCATGCACACCAATTGAATGACAATGTCTATCAACTTTGGGGGCAGTCCCCCCAAATATTTTATTGGGGGGCCAAAGGGACCTCATCCCCTTGAAGTTGGCTCCTGTGTTGCAGAGGACAGAAGTAAGCTGAGATAAAGAGAGCTAGATCTGGAAAAGATAAAGCAAAGTCAAGCTGTGATAGTCTAGGGCCTTGGGGGAGCAAATGTTTTTAGGGGGTGCTCTCTCCTGCCAAAAAAACTCCCCTGTGAATAGATGGCAAGATGACTGCTACTAACTTACCATCACATTGCAGAGTTGAGTAAGGCAGGGAGGGTAACTCTTCCGAAACCTTATTCACATTGGAGAGATAGGAGCATGAAAAAAGCTCTGGGTTGTGTCTCTAGGAGGGAGGCTGAAATCAGTGCTGGATTTACGTATAAGCTAAACAAGCTATAGCTTAGGGCCCCACTCTCTTGGGGGCCCCAAAAGAATTAAAGGGGGGGAAACTGGATTACTTTGATAAAATACATATTTCGTTATGTGCAAATGGCTTTAGATGCCTATTAGGTCCATAAATTATCATAGAGCATATATTCAACACAAAAAGCAGTGACAGTTTGTTGTTGACAAAGGCCAGCTGGACATATAAAGGGCCCCATTACCTTCAGTAGCTTAGGGCCTCATCAAACCTAAATCCAGCCCTGGCTGAAATCCAGCCCTTTCAACAGCAAGGAAATGGCCAGGAAGACCGGGGGTGGGGGTGGGGGAAGAACTGATATCCAGAGACTGTCAGTTCCCTATCCCCATCCTGTAGATATGCAACCCATTTTGTTCTGTTGGTCCAACTTTGCTACACAGCCATCACCCAACATTCCTCTTCAGCAACCCAACCTTGAGTATGGTGTCCAGTTCTGGGCACTACACTTAAAGAAGGTTTGGGAAAATGGAATATGTTCAAATGAGGCAGTAATGATGCCGTGGGACCTGAAGACCAAGTGCTTACAGGAATAGTCTTTGAGTATGTTTACCCTTGGTCCATGGGGTCACGAAGAGTCGGACACGACTAAACGACTAAACAACAACAACAATGTTTACCCTAAAGAAGGCAATGAAAGATTTTACTTTCTTGGGCTCCATGATCACTGCAGATGGTGACAGCAGTCACAAAATTAAAAGGCGCCTGCTTCTTGGGAGAAAAGCAATGACAAACCAAGACAGCATCTTAAAAAGCAGAGACATCACCTTGCCAACAAAGGTCTGTATAGTTAAAGCTATGGTTTTCCCAGTAGTGATGTATGGAAGTGAGAGCTGGACCATAAAGAAGGCTGATCGCCAAAAAATTGATGCTTTTGAATTATGGTGCTGGAGGAGACTCTTGAGAATCCCATGGACTGCAAAAAGATCAAACGCATCCATTCTGAAGGAAATCAGCCCTGAGTGCTCACTGAAAGGACAGATCCTGAAGCTGAGGCTCCAATACTTTGGCCACCTCATGAGAAGAGAAGACTCCCTGGAAAAGACCCTGATGTTGGGAAAGATTGAGGGCAGAAGGAGAAGGGGACGATGGAGGACGAGATAGTTGGACAGTGTTCTTGACGCTACTAACATGAGTTTGACCAAACTGCGGGAGGCAGTGGAAGACAGAAGTGCCTGGCATGCTCTGGTCCATGGGGTCACGAAGAGTTGGACATGACTAATTGACTAAACAACACACAACAACCCTAAAGATGAGATGATAAAGATAAGGATGAAATCTTCAAATATTTGAAGGGCAGTCTCATGGATGATAGAGATTTTTTTGTTTTCTATTGTTTGAGGGGATTGGACCTCATACAATTAGAAGAAATTTCAAGAGAGGGGATCAAGGCTGAATGTTAGGGAAAGTGTCCTATCAATAAGAGCTGTTTGGCAGTGGAACAGGTGGACTCAGAATATACTGTTGTCTTATTCATCTCTTTTAATGACATTACAAAGCCCAGTGATGGTGGGTATCCATTGGAACTGGTAAGGCACAAGGCAGGAGACCAACAGTAGGTGGAAACAGAGCCAACAGAGTCTGGTTTTTGCCCCATCTTCCTCCCTGCTGAGTTCCACAAGGAGACTAAGGAGGAAGAAATTGACAGCCAGTATAACTCCCTGGATTTGTAAGTAAGAAGGCAGGCAGGTGGGAGCTGGCTGACAGCAGACAGAGACAGGTGGAGTGGTACCCCATACACCCATATGAACCAGCATCCACCGACACAGCCATGTGGTGGACCCTCCTTCATTAGAGGTTTTGAAGAATAAGGCTATCAATAGACATGTTGGCTATGCTCTGCCTCTACCGCCAGAGACAATATGCCTCTGACTGTCAGGTGTTGGGGAATGCTATTGTCCTTAGGTTCTTCTTTTGGGCTTCCCATGGGCTTCTGGTTAGCCATAGCAAGAACAGGGTCTAGATGACTCCTTCTCCTGAACCAGGAGGTTCTTCCTATGTTCTTATTGATAACATATTGAGGTGATAGGCATCAATGGAAGCTTGAACTTCTGCACCGAGTTAGCCTTGGTGAAGACTTGATGTTTTCACCCCAAAAATGTTTTTGAGTTTCTGCTGAAATGAGGCTGCATTTTAATGTTGTATTTTAATCTTGTTTTTAAGTTGTATTTCAATCAACTTATTTTATATTTGGTGTTAGCCACCCTGAGCCTGGTCTTAGCTGGGGAGGGTGGGGTTATTATTATTATTATTATTATTATTACTGGAGGAACATGACTTCATTTGCAAGCAACCACACTGAGACTTAACTGGAAAATAAGGAAACTTACTTTTATTATTGGAAATGCGTAATACTTGGGTAGAAAATA